ATTTTTAAAATTCTTTTGTAGAGATGTAGATCTCCCTCTGTTACCCAGGCTGGTCTCTAAAACTCCTGGGCTCAAGCAGTCCGCCCCTCCCAAAGTGCTGGGATTACAGGCATGAGCCACCCACTGCACCCAGCTCTAGGTGGGATTTATAATTTTTTTTTCCATAGAATTTAGGGCTTCTCAAATTTTTAATATGTTTGCTTGTTCTTTCTGCTTACTTTGGGTTTATTTTTCTCTGCTTTTTCTAGCTTAAGGTAGAAGCCTGTATCACTGATTTTCTCCTTTCTTCTGATAGAGGCATTTACAATTCCGAGTTTCCCTCTAAGCACTGCTTTTAGCTGAATCCTACACATTTTGTTTTCATTATCATTTAGTTCAAAATATTTTCTTTTTTTTTTTTTAAGTTGTGTGTGTGTGTGTGTGTGTGTGAGAGAGAGAGAGAGAGAGAGAGAGAGAGAGAGAGAGAGAGAGGAGACAAGGTCTCCCTTTGTTGTTCAGGCTGGAGTGCAGTGGTGCCATCCTAGCTCATTGCAGCCTCAAACTCCTGGGCTCAAGCAATCCTGTTGCCTCAGCCTCCTAACTTGCTGGGACTAGAGGCGTGAGCCACCACACCTGGCTAATTTTTGTATTTTTAGTGGAGATAGGGTTTCACCATGTCAGCCAGGCTGGTCTCAACTTCCTGGCTTCAAGTGATCTGCCTGCCTTGGCCTCCGGAAGTGCTGGGATTGCAGGCATGAGCCACAATTTCTTTACCTACTCATCAATTGATGGGCATTTGGGCTGGTTCCGTATTTTTGCAATTGCAAATTGTGCTGCTGTAAACAAGCATGTACAAGCATCTTCTTCATATAATGACATCTTTTCTTCTAGATAAGATACCCAGGAGTGGTACTGATGGATCAAATGGTAGATCTACTTTTAGTTCTTTAAGGAGTCTCCACACTGTTTTCCACCGTGGTTATACTAGTTTACTTTCCCACCAACAGTGTAAAAGTATTCCCTTTTCACCACATCCATACCAACATCTATTATTTTTTTATTTTTTGACTATGGCCATTCCTGTATCTTTTAGCCACGTTGAGCAATTTTTCATGTTTGTTGGCCATTTGTATATCATCTTTTGAGAAGTGTCTGTTCATGTCCTTAGCCCACTTTTTGATGGGATTTTTTTTTCTTGCTGATTTCTTTGTAGATTCTGGATATTAGTCTTTCAGATGTATAGATTGCATTCTCCTACTCTGTGGGTTGTCTGTTTACTCAGCTGATTATTTCTTTTGCTGTGCAGAAACTTTTTAGTTTAATTAAGTCTGTTTATCTTTGTTTTGTTTAATTTGCTTTTGGGTTCTTGGTCATGAAGTCTGCCCAAGCCAATGTCTAGAAGGATTTTTCCAATGTTATCTTCTAGAATTTTTTATGGTTTCAGGTCTTAGATTTAAGTCTTTGATCCATCTTGAGTTGATTTTTGTATAAGGTGAGGGATGAGGATCCAGTTTCATTCTTCTACATGTGGCTTGCCAATTATCCCAGCACCATTTGTTGAATAGGGCATCCTTTCCCCTTAGTGTTTGCTTTGCCGAACATCAGTTGATTTTAAGTATTTGGTTTTATTTATGAATTCTCTATTCTGTTCCATTGGTCTACATGCCTGATTTTATACCAGTATCACACTGTTTTGGTGACTATGGCCTTGTTATATAATTCAAAGTCAGGTAATGTGATGCCTCCATATTTGTTCTTTTTACTTAAGTCTTGCTTTGGCTATGCAGGCTCTTTTTTGGTTCCCTATGAATTTTAGGATGGTTTTGTCTAATTCTGTGAAGAATGATATTGGTATTTTGATGGGAATTGCATTGAATTCATAGATCGCTTTTGGCAGTCTGGTAATTTTCACAGTATGATTCTACCCATCTGTGAGCATGAGATGTATTTCCATTTGTTTATCATCTATGATTTCTTTTCGCAGTGTTTTGTAGTTTTCATTGTAGAGGTCTTTCACCTCCTTAGTTCAGTATATTCCTAAGTTGTTTTTCTTTTGTTATTTTGCAGCTATTATAAAAGGGGTTGGGTTCTTGATTTCTCATCTTGGTTGCTGTTGGTGTGTAGCAGGGCTACTGATTTATGTATATTAATTTTGTATCCTGAAACTTCGCTGAATTCATTTACCCAGTTCTAGGAGCTTTTTGAAAGTCATTAGAGTTTTCTAGGTATATGATCATGTCAACAGCAAATGACAGTTTGACTTCCTCTTTACCGATCTGGATGTCCCTTCTTTCTCTTGTCTGATTGCTCTGGCTAGGACCAAGCTCAACTTTTCACAAACTATTTAGCATTAGTTTTGTGCCCCACTACATAAAATATCAAAATGTTGCAACCATATATGCTTTATAGTTGTTATGTTACCTTTATTTATGTTCAGCCTCACAATACACTGTGATATTTTTTCTTTGAACAATCATATGTATTTTTTAAAAAGTTAAACCAAGATAGTATTTTATATTTACCCACTTGTACTACATTTGTTATTTGTGGAAGGACTGGTCCACCATGAGCTACTCAGTCATTATCAGGCAATAGTGATCTTTCCTTGAAAACAAAATAATAATCGTAGTAACATACTCCAAAGTTTACTGTCTTTGGAATGCAGAGTTTTGTCTAATATTATTCAGCAAGAAGGGTATTTTTTTCTCATTGCTAGTTCATACTTCTACTTTCCTGCCTCTCTTTTTCAATAATCTAAAGCCACATCCATAGCTATGATTATGTTCTCTGTTTCATTTTCCTAATTCTGTTAAACATTCTGATGACATGAGCAACCAACCACCATACTAAAAATTAGAATAGCTCCTATCTCACCAGAGTGAATGAGAAATCACAAGTTCACATGCCCAAAAGAACTGGCCCTACACACCCTAGAAGAGTTTAGTTTGGGCTTGATTTTTTTTTTTTTTTTTTTTTTTTTTTAGATGGAGTCTTGCTCTGTCACCCAGGCTGGAGTGCAATGGCATGACCTCAGCTCACTCCAACCTCCACCTCCTGGGTTAAAGCAATTCTCCTGCCTCAGCCTCCCAAGTAGCTGGGACTACAGGCATGCCCAGCTAATTTTTGTATTTTTAGTAAAGACAGGGTTTCACCGTGTTAGCCAGGATGGTCTCAATCTCCTGATCTCGTGATCCGCCTACCTCAGCCTCCCAAAGTGCTGGAATTACAGGTGTGAGCTGCCGCACCCAGCCAGATTTTCTTTGGGAAAAAAAAAAAAAAAAAATGTGGAGAGCATTGCTTCTTGACTGCTGTCCTAGTAGCAAAGCACCATCTAGCGTACAAGGAGTGTGGAAAAACTCAAAAGCCCTGCTCTTCTATTCTCTCAGTTCCACCATGCTATACTTAAAGAAAAAAGACCACCTTTTTACCCTTCTCTCCCCAAATATTAAAAGTTTCTGAGATCAGAGTAATGAATATGGTTCTGTCCTCTGAAAAACTTCTCTTGCCTCTACATCAAAAAGCTTTTTGAAATAAAAGTAGTCCAGTATCTACTCATTCAGTCTTCAAGTCTTTATCAAAGGTACATCATCACTGCTTGATTATTGATGGTAATGAGCAAGAGCTTTGCATCCAGACCCAGATTTAAATCCTGGTCCTGCCACTTACCTTGGAAAATTTGTTTTGCCTCTCCTAACTTCAGCCTTCTCCTCTATAAAATGAGGATAACAGTACCTCTCTGTTGGAAGGGTTCAATGAGGCTGACCACTCCCTTCCCAAATCTTTCTTCCCTGGCTTCCCATAGTACTACTCTCCTGGTTTTTCTCTTGTATCCTATGCTTCTGTCTTTTTTGTGGGCTTTTCTGCTTCTCTTTAAATACTTATTTTCCTTCTTTGGTTGCCTGTTGACTTATTCCTAGCTTTCCATGGATGACTCCTTTCAAATCTATGGTTTTGATGATCCCCAAAATCTAAATTACTCCTGAATCTTAAAAAAATATATTTTTCTTTTTTTGAGACGGGGGTCTTGCTTTCTTTCCCAGGCTGGAGTGCGGCGGCATGATCATAGCTCACTACCACCTCAAATTCCTAGGCTCAAGTGATCTTGCCTCAGTCTCCCAAACAGCTGAAAATACAGGCACATACCACCACACCTAACTTTTTACTTTTTTCCTAGACATGAGGTCTGAGCCATCTTGCCCAGGCAGATCTCAAACTCCTAGGTTCAAGTGATCCTCTGGCCTTGGCCTCCCAAAGTGCTGGGATTACACGTGTGAGCCACCATACCTGGCCTACTCCTGAATCTTTATCTTCAAACCAGGTTTCATTCCTGAAATCCAACTATTCAGGTGTCTGATGGATATCATCATTTGGTATCTTAAACATCTAAAACTAGATTCTACAACCAACCCTCAATCAATATTCCTTTGCTCTCTCTGGTTATCTAAGCCCCGAAAATGGGTACCCAACCCACAGTCTATTCTTAACCTGCCACATCCAGTCAATCCCCAATTCCTGTTGATTTTAGCTCCTAAATCTCTCCTCCTCTCCATCTCATTTTTCACTAAGACCTTTTCAGTTTCATAGACCACTTCATTCTAATACACTAGACTCCATGCTAATGCAAGTGTTCTCAAGTGTTCAGGGTACAAATCCAAGTTTGCCACATACTACCAGCTCAATAACAAGGGCATCACTTCTGGTACTTTTTGAGATACAAGAAATGAAGGGGCTCTTGCTCAGTTCTAGCTGCTGCTTCAATGTGAAAACAGACCCTGTAATAAAATAACGTAGTTTGGTTTGGCAGTAGGTCAGTTTCCTATCTTTAAATTATGGTGATTAAAGGGCACTTTCAGTGCAAAATGGGGACTGGCCCTTAGTAAGCAAATTGCTGGCTTACCTCTACATCAAAGCTGCAGCATCAGGGCTGCTGCAGAGGCCTTGCCTGTACCAAGCAGGAACTTGGCCTTAAGGTTCCAACTCCAATTTCAAAATAGGCTTAGAAACAGGGAAGACTGTGATCATAGGTTCTTTTCAGTTTTTATTGTAATCTCTTGTTTTTATACCTGAGTAACAATTTTCCCCAAAGGAATGATACATAATCTTTATTCTAAAAAGGACATATAGTGTGTTGATAGCATCTGGTTGGCGGTTATCACTGACTGTCTTCAATAACAATTACTCATCTAAGAAACTCTTTTAGAATCCTTGGTGCTAAGCCAGACAAGCCCTGGGCTGCTCCTCATGATACTGATAGGATCTGGCTTCTAGAGGAACTTGTTCTTGATTCCCTCTGGGCAAAGGCAGCTGTGATACTCACCAGGCTGGGCCTCAACTTACTTACAGAGCTTTTATTTTTTTCTTTTAAATTTATGCTATTAAAGTTGGATTATTAATACAGTATTTGTGTTTGCCTTGGGGACTAATAAACCCCACAACCTGAGGATCATCACAGGGCTACTCAGCAGAGGTCTGTCTCAGCTGTTCCTTGAACTAAGGAAGGGGTCAGCCAGCTAGGAGATAACTGTCCTTTTGAAAGCAAACAGCATCATATACCTTACTTAGAACTACATACAGCCTCTTGTTCCCAGTTCTTGAACTATGTTGTCTTTTCACTGTTTCCTGGCTTATGGGGCAATGGAGGGTTTCCGACCTCAAATGCTAGTACCAGGTGTGAAGGAAGGACCTTAGGCTCATCTGCTGGCTCCCTGTGATCATAAACACACGGTGTTCTGTGTTTTAATTCTGTGGTGGCTGCCACTCTGCCTGAGTCATGTCACCTTTACTAATCCAGCATTATCCTCACCCAAAAAAACACTACTTTGGGGTCATTCTATTCTTATTTCTCTCTTATTTGTTCGGATGTTTCAGATGGACTTGAGTCCACGGCAGGCTCTGGCTCCAGAGGAAGAGATGGTGGCTTTGTGAACTGGGATGTTCCTCCAGCACCTAGTAACAAAATAAAAACTTGAATCCTCAGTTCCACAATTTCAGAAGAAATCATTTTTTGCTGTTAGAGTTCAAGAGGAAACCTCATATTTTCCGGAACTAGTGGGACTGACCCATTAGCTATGAGAGAAGACTACAACTGAGAAAGCAACAGTCAAGTTTGTCTTCAGTTAGTCAAACTTGACTGTTGACTGAAAGAAATCTTTAATTACCTACACGTCAACTTCTGATAAAGCAGTAAAAATTAAACACTGCATAACAGGATATACTTAGTAACATATTGCTAAAATTGAATAGACCAGTGTATTGACCATCCAACGAAGTCTGAGTAGCTGTTACCTACTACACAGCTCACCTTAAGGAAACAAGTGCCAACTTGGCCACCCTGTGGTTTTTTTCTCCCCTTGTGGCCAAAACTAAATTGGACATGTTATGAGTCTGAAGAGTACCTCACTGAAAGCTAGAATCTCATTGCTGGCACATGTGGCTTGTACCTGCTAGGCCTTCGTGGAGCTCTGTATGATCCTACCTGAGGGCAGCGTCCTGTATGCAGCTGCTGAAGATATTGCCTGTCCTAGAGCTTGATTAGAGCCCAGAGGCTGCTGGAAACTGGCAGGTTTGCTGGTTGAAGTGGTCTGGTGCTTTGATTTGGGATCTTTAACTGGTTTAGTCCAGACCAGTGCCTCCCCAACCTGGAGAGCAGCTCCCAACTTCTGAGCCATCTCCACCATCTTGTGCCCGTAAAAGAAGTAAAAGAATCAAAAGCATGACTGTTAGAGACAAGCCAACCCACTTCCTTGGGCTTCCATCCGGGGTTTTAGCTGAAACAGTGTCTCCTTGTCCTAGCGGTTGAGGCAGGAAGTACTTATCAAACAGCAGAGAATACAGATTGCCTTTAATGGATGACAGGGTGGTTCACACAGGATCTCAAAACCCAAAAATTCAAGCCTGGTGTATTACTGGGCTAAACTGCATTTCCTACAAGAAGTGAAATAGGAGGAAGCTACAGATAGACACAGACTTCAACTTTGATGAGTTGGATTAGCAGTAACAGATAACTCAGTAAGCCTGAATTTCCTTTATTATTCTAGGAAAGTTTTTCTCAGGCTGTTATTGATGAGCTCATGCTGCCAGAAGCATCACAGTCAGAAGAGCCATGGATGTGTAATACCTTGGATTTGGATTATTTGGCCTAAGTCTCCTGAGAGCTTACTTAAGACTGTTGGCAACTAATAAGACATACCTCAGAGTCAAATTCCAGAGAGCTACTGTCCTTGAGTAGGTTGACTTTCTTCTCCATCTCCTGATATTGGGCCAGGGCGCTCCTCTTCTCGCCCTGGTTGTATAGCAGCACAGCATAGTTCAGGTTTACTAAAGGGTTACACCTGTGGCAGACAGACAGGGATTCTATGGAACTGCAGGCTCTGCAACAAATGGTCATTTGGAGATCCTTCTCATTACACAAGAAGAAAACAAAACTGGTTAAGTAGAGATTTCTCCATGCTAAGCAGACCTGCGGAGAAGAATCAAGGAATTAATGGCCTAATGAGGAAAGCTGGTGTTAGGACCAAGTCTGACATCTCAGCCCTCAACAGAGAGGACCTAGGCCAGGGTTGAAAAAGGGATCTCTACTCTGCCGTCTAGCAGATGCCAGTGGAGTAAAATCCTGGAAGAGTCCAATTTATCTTCAGTTAAACAGCCCAGAGTCCCACTGATATTCCAGCTAGCCCACTGCCAGCCCTGACTTTCTCCGGCCTCCTGATTACTCAGTTTGGGACTGGAAACATTTTCTCAGTGTCAATTCCTACTGAGCCACCACGTACTTAGGAGCCACATCCTTCCACACTGAGGCCTGCTGTGTACTGCCATAGAGGAACAGCTGGGCTGACTCAGGCAGCACTGATGCTATGGCACCACTTCATGCCTTTGGAGAGTCCAACCCCCCCCAGTACCATTCTAAACGAAGCACATACTTATCCAGGTGGACGGCTTCTGCGTAGGCTCTCTTGGCATTCTCTATATCTTCCAGATTGGTCAGAGCCACTGCAACAAAGAAAGCACTGTAGCTGGAGAGCTCAACTTAGAAAACAAAAGGAACATTAAGACTGCCCCAAAAGTAAACTTTTTCACCCTCTCGGCTCATGGCACCAGAGAGTACTAAATTGGTCAGCTTAGATACCTGGTGCTATCTTCAACGACCCTTTCTACAGTCCATCAGTTGCCAAGTTCTGTGCATCCTTTTTTTGCAGTTTCTTTTCCTACACTGCCCTTGTTCAGGCCCAAGTAGTCCCAGGCTTTCCATTTATCCCCCAGTGCCAATGTCCCCACCTGCCTCCATTCCACTTTCCACAGTGCCACCAGGTATCTCACTGACTTACAAATTAACCACGTGTCCATCCTACTTGGGAATCCTCACTGGCTCCCCATATCTATAACCATGATCTTTAAGTTTTGTTTTTTTTTTTTTAAGCAATAAAACACTCTCCCCATGTTTTAAAATCAGTATTTCCTTGACACCTAATATATAAAATGGAAATGGCTGCTCTGGAAGCCATGCCCATTCCACCACCTCACCAGCTATGCACTCACTCCTACCAGGCACCTAAGAAGAGATCTAGGAATTCAGCTGGACAAACATGGCCTCTAAGGTAAAGACCTTGCACTGTACTCATGACACCCATAATCTGACCCCAGAATACCTTTCCTGACTCATCTCCCATCATATTCGCTAACATTACTGCCCACTAACAGCAAGGGACACTGCAGTTTCATGGCAGCATGCCTTGGTTCACAGTGGCTCCTCAGCCATTCTGTGCTATTCCATTCTAGCTGTTGTTCAGAATCCAGTGTGAATGCCATCTCTACTCTGTAAAGTTAGCATTGCTTTTATGCCTTACATCATGGCTGTTTACATTTCTATGTCCCATTAGAACCCAACTATCCAAAAGAAACTATTAACATAGTAAACACAACCTACAAAACGGGAGAAAACATTTGCAAACCATGCAGGTCTAATATCCAGGATCTACAAGGAACTTAAACAAATTTGCAAGAAAAACACAACCTTATTTAAGTGGGCAAAGTAAACAATTTTCAAAAGATGACATACATGCAGCTAACAAGTACATGAAAAAAAGCTCAGTGTCACTGACTAGAGAAATGCAAATCGAAACCACAATAAGACACCATCTCACACCAGTCATAATGACTTTATTAAAAACTCAAAATATAACAGATGCTGGCGAGGCTGCAGAGAAAAGGGAATGCCTAGACACTGTTCATGGGAGTGTAAATTAGTTCAACCACTATGAAAAGCAGTGTGGCAATTCCCCAAAGGGCTAAAAACAGAACTACCATTAGACACAGCAATCCCATTACTGTGAATATGTCCAAAAAAATATACATTGTTCCACCATAAAGACACATGCATGTGTGTGCACTGTAGCACTATTTATGATAGCACATGAAGTCAACCTAAATGCCCATTAATAGTACACTGGATAAACAAAATGTAAATATACACCATGGAATACTACAGTCATACAAAAGAACAAGATCATGTCCTTTGCAGCAACATAGATGGAACTGGAGGCCATCATCCTTAGTAAACTAATGCAGGACAGAAAACCAAATACTGCATGTTCTCACTACAGTGTAAGTAGGAGCTAAATGATGAACACACATGGAGATATAGAGGGAAACAGCAGACACTGGATGGAGCTTATTTGAGGTAGAGGGGAGGGTGGAGGGTGGGTGGGGGGACCAGGGAAAAAAAACTATTGAGCACTAGGCTTAGTACCTGGGTGATGAAATAATCTGTACAACAAACCCCCATGACACATGTGTGCCTGTGTAACAAAATACACATGTACCCCTGAACCTGAAATACAATTTTAAAAAGAGATGGAGTCTGTGTTGCCCAGGCTAGACTCCCAACTCCTGGGCTCAGGCAAACTTCCTGCTTTAGCCCCCCAAGTAGGCAGGACTCCAGATGTGTATCATCACACCCTACTTTAGCCTTTTTATCCCGATGTTTTGACATCTGAGGCCTTACTGACCCTATGGAGACTACCCCTCCCAGGGTCATATAATCCCTACAAGACTGCCCTCTATATGCAGACCAGCCAATACAGGGTCCATATTCTCAACTGCCTCCTTTATCAGGCTCTGACACTGGGTCAATATTCCCCAGTCTTAGTCACCGAGGGTCAGGTAGCAGACACCAAGAGACAGCCCTACAGCCGGGGGCCCACTGAAATTATTCAAACTGGCCAGTCTTCAACCTGCTTAGCCTGCTTTATCGGTCTTGCCCCAGGGAGGGCATTTCTTCTCATACCCCTTGCTCCCTTCACCTCCTAATTGACCCCGTGCTTCGCCATGTGGCCCTGCATCCTGTGGCATGCCCTCCTTCTCAGGAATTGTAACAGACTGTCTTTCCAATGGCAGTTGTCTTCTGATCTGTTGCCCATACCTTATCTGAGTAAATAATAATAAAACCTATGTTTTAAAAAAAAAATTTTCTATTCAGGCAACCCTCAAATAACTATGACTCACTGCTTTTGCAAGCTTTCTCTTATAAATAAGAACCCCACAATAAGGAATAAAAAGCCACTGGAAGACCACTGCCAAATGAGGATTTGGCAATCTGCTCTGGGTTTTACATTAGTAAGTAAATGAGACTGGAAGGCTAGTAGGAAGACTAGTCAGTACTTTAAATGGTTGTCCATAGTTTTTAAAGTGATTAATTCTAACTTCTGATAAATTTTAGTATTTGCATGGCATAAAATGGAGTTTCAGGAAGAGGACAGCATTCTGTATAACATGCTCAGAAGAGACAGGGTTTCAGTACAAGGTCACTTGACTTGGAACTACCACCTAGGGGCCAGTTATAGTAACAGCAATCCTGATAATAATAGACCGGTTATATAACCACAATAAAACCAACGGTTTTCAAAAATCAGTATTTCAACAAAACCACTATTATTCATTGAGCGTTTAATCATGCAATCCTCACACCAGCCCTAGGTACACATAGTAAATAGCAGAGGCAGGGTCCCCACCTAAAACCCAGGCTCTTAACACTTGCTGTCTGGAACTTAGTTGGATTCAATATATACATAAATGAATTGTCAAGGCAAGAGGAAAAAAGTTGGTAAAAGGTGAACAAGGGATGATCTTTATTTAACCTGTTGTTCTCTGAGTGAAACTGCCCCAAGTTAGAAACACCCAAGTTCCTTTGTCATCCTTTTCTATTTCTTTAAGCTCCAGGACATAATGCAGATTCATATAGGATCTCCAAGGGGATGGCTCCTGTGAGACAGCCATTGATCTCCTAAGATTCTGCTCCATTTTTCCCTCAGTACAGATGGCAGACTTTTCCACACAAATGTTTCTTACCTGCCAAGAGCATGTAGAGCTCCCCCATCTTTGGCTGGAAGTTGATGGCTGCACTGAGAAAATGAAAAGCTGATGCATACTGCTGCATGGTCAAATGGACGAGGCCCAAATTATACAGAATCTTCCAATCGAAGGGTGCCAAGTAGTTGGCTCGTTTCAGGCAGCTGATGGCCTATAAGAGAGAAGCAGCAGTCAATGAGGGAGTGGGGCAAGCTAAGAAGACCCAATAACCACATGTATGTATGCAAACAAAGAACATGAGGGGATACTGGCTGCCACATATTTCTTCTTGCCGAAGAAACACATTTCAATGTTATTTCAGAGTAGAGGATTTTCTGGAACAGCACAAGCCACAACTCTGTATTTGGTGAGGGCAACATCAAAGTCCCCATGGGTCTGCATCATGCTGCCTGCTGCCAAGATGGCCTGAACACACAGCACAGAGAAAGTAATTCAGTCATTCTCAAAAGGCTATAGCAGTGAGGCAGCCTTCCTGAGTCTATAGACATTCAGCAGGCCCAGCAGCACAGATGGGACTGAAAAATTTCTTCCAGGGACATAAATAATGTATCCAAGCTATTGGGACACACGTTCCTGAGAAATGTTCTTGCACACTACACTATGGCACACACACACACAAGCCAGACGCAGTGGTTCATGCCTGTAACCCCAGCACTTTGGGAGGCCAAGGCAAGCAGATCACAAGGTGAGGAGTTCAAGACCAGCCTGGCCAACATAGTGAAACCACATCTCTACTAAAAATACAAAAATTAGCTGGGTTTAGTGGCACACACCTACAGTTCCAGCTACTCGAGAGGCTGAGGCAGGAGAACTGCTTGAACCTGGGAGGCAGAGATTGCAGTGAGCTGAGACCATGCCATTGCACTCCAGCCTGGGTGACAGAGTGAGAATCCATCTCAAAAAAAAAAAGATAAAATGTTATTTGCTTTACCCATCTAATTTGTTTCCTACTTCTAGCCAGGAAAGTCAGTATTGCAGAATGAATACCAGGGTCCTGTAAGTAAAAAATTCCACTAATCTGTTCTCTGCAGCCCTTATTTGGTATACCAAGTGTTCTAGACACCTGAAATACACCCATACATGACTACTTAAGGTACATTTCTTTCTACCATACAACAAAGGGTGAGTCAGCTTTAGGCTTCACAAGCCCAGTCCTTTCATTTCTCTAAGGAAAAGTATCAAGATGGGGAGCTGACAAGCTAATATGACTTCCTAAATCAGAATTCAGTTTGTATCCTTCAATAAACAGCTTGTCTTGCTGTATCTCCTCAATGATATTCATCCATTTGATGCTATCCCTTCTCATTCCTAGTCACATCTAGACAAACGTGGTATCAAATCATTAGGACTCTAGAAGTCATTTCAACATCATTATTATTTCTTTTTAGAGACAGGGTCTCACTCTGACCCAGGCTGGAGTATCGTGGTGCCATCACAGCCCACTGTAGCCTCAAACTCCTGGGCTCAAGTGATCTTCCCTCTTTTACCTTCTGAGTAGCTAGGACTACAGGTGTGTGCCACCATGCCTGGTTAATAATTTTTTTTGTAGAGATGGGGGTCTCACTATGTTGCCCAGCCTGGTCTTGAACTCCTGGCCTCAAGTAATCCTCCTGCCTCAGCATTCCAAAGTGTTGGGATTATAGGCATAAGCCAACAGGCCCAGCAGATTTATTTTTTACAATAGTTGTGGAGGCATTGCTAATTTCCTACGTTAACACCTAAGCTTTACTATCACTATGATTTTGCTTTCTGCAGGGCTTACATGTCCGTTA